TCGAAAGCGGGCGCCCGCATACATTGGACGCCATTCACCATCGTCCGGTGCTATGACCATAGCATGGATCACACTGCGATATTTTCCCATGACGCATTCATCTGGGACAGATGGCAACTGCGGTTGCTTTTTGGCCTTCTTGGGGGCCGTGGCACGAGGACTGTCCGAAGAATCCGATGAGTCTGAGTCTGATGAACTCTCGGATGAGCTCAAGACCGTGTCAACCGGAGGTGACGGTTCGGACGAGACCGGAGCGTCAAAATGAAACCAATCGAACTTGAAAAGCGGAAGGTCTTTTTTAAAGTACTCGAGAGATACCGGGGGTTCCTTGAGGGGTGCCTGACCTCCGCGATGCTGAGCGATCTGAGGGCGAAATCCTTGCTGCACTTCCAACACCACCTGTTTCTGAAATGCCAGGGCTCCCCAAACCGAGTCACGTCCGTATAAACGGAGAGATTGTCGAGGATCCTGATGATGTCCCTGCTGAAGCCGTTGATCATCTGATACCTTGCCGTGGAGCTGCGGCCCCCAGGAGAGAAATGTGGCTTTTAGGCCATGGATGGTATAGTTGAGTTCTAAATCATGAAGTGGACTCAGGCCACTCCGCCATGGGGCGTGAATCCACACACGAAGAAAGTTCAAGGCTTTGGCATACGACATGGGGATGTATGATGGGTTAACTGCCGTGTCAGAGCAGTCTGGCAAAAGGAAATCAGGGTCCGAAGGCTGATGTTTGGTTAAAGTGATATCCAATACCATCAAGAACCGCCACAACCAATTGTGGGGACCTTTAGAAAGAAAACCACTCGTGATCAAGCCGAAAGGATGGCCGTGCGTTTGGGTTTTTGAACGCCAACACAAACCCCTGACATCAGTGGGGGACAGCACTAAGCTCCGAAGGTTGATTCTCTGGAGGTCAGCAAACCTGAGACCTGAGAATGCCATGAAGAGAAAAGTACCCAGAATCAGGACTTCAACATCTGTGCAGGACGATTGCAGCAGTCGGCGTTCCCATTGGATCAAGGCCCAAAGGGGGAGAGGAGCTGCCTCTCGTTTATCTTTGGGGTGCTTAATCTTTAGGAAAGAGTCTACTATGGGTGAATATACACATTGAAGACTTTCCACTATTGCTGACCGTCGAAGCCATCGCAATGCTTTGATGGATGATGCACGACTGATCCCGGATGAATCCGAACTGCGAGACAGCGAGATCACCAAAAGCAAATCCGCCATGCCTCCATCGGTCAACCCGACTATATTGCAACGCGTGTCCTGACAAATCCTCAAAAAGTTGCAAATGGCAGTCAAGTACTGAAGGGCGGTACTCGGAGCTAGGTTATCCAAGACTCTGTCGGCATGTTGATAACCGAATTGAGATTTGGAGCAAGCTTCAAAGAGTTGAGATGCCTGACCGAACTGTTCCAACACAAAGTGCCACTTTTTGATCAAGTAGGGATTTGAAGATGGCTGACGAACACGTTTATGGGCTGAGCTTGAGGCCTTGGCAAACTTAGAAGGGACGACGATGGCTGGACTCGATCGTGGCTGAGTCATGTGCATGTCTTTTGCAAAGCTCTCGAAGTCACGCGGAGGAACCTCTGGGGCCGTGGTTAACGGGAAGAGGGTTAAATCCTGGGGCGGACTACAAAGACTCCGTGGTCGAGACCAGGATCCTGCAGAGTCAGGAGTGGGGTCATACCACATGGGGAGGTCTCCCAAATCATGCAATGACACTGGAGCTGAACGAGGTTCCGGGGGATGAAACACCGGTGCAGCTGTCGAATCTTCTAGGTCCGAAACCGATTGGAAGGCCTGCTGCGGAGGTCTTTTCGAAGAGGATGATGGCAATGAATCGGATACCTGAAACAGGGATCGAATCCGCGGTTCGATGTTGCGAATCGGTGCTGCCAAGGTTTTGGATTTGGGGTGTGGCTCAATAAAGACCCAAGATTCACTATCTGACATGCTCTCTGGTTCAATGGATTCAACGAATGTGCAAATGCTCTAGGCACTTGTGATGCTTGTGACCCGGCTCACGACGAATGCAAGGCGCCCTGCAAAAAACACATGCCCGAGTGCAGTACGGGATCTCCGTGTGTGAGGATGCGGGGCGGTCGGTCGGCTCGGGAATTTCAGAGCTAGTCGGTAAAGCAATCTGGAATCGGCGGGCGAGTTCGAAAACGATCAAGCAAAGGAAACGGAGCAAAGCAACCAGGCTCCACTGCTTGAGATCGGAATCCATGGCTTGACGCGGCCGGGATGCTACGAAGTGAAGATGTACATGCAACATCTGAACAAATTGGCATGAAAAATGTCACCACCTGAAGAGAACATCGCGGCTTTCTCCGTTCGTAGGAGGGTACCGCATAGCAAAAGTAGAACGTGTAAATGTGCAAAGCATGACATGAAAAGAGGCTTCCCCGTTCGCAGGGGGGCACCTCTCAAAAATCACCATTATAATGAAAGTCCAATCTTGAGCCAAAATAACGCGTGGAATGAAGTACCCCCATAGAACATTAGTGAACAAGTACACTTAACGATCCGAGCATGACCCGAGACCGTCTCGCAACCGTCGTTCCGCAGACCTTGACTTGCCAGCTTCGGAGCCACCGGTTCCATTGAAAAATACAGCATTTCGTGCCTTCGCCACCTCCCCGCAACGCATTTTGTATTGCGCCTGCCACGAAATCTGCACATGGAGGTGCACAAAGTGCTGTGCCTGCCACGAAATCTGCACATGGAGGTTCACAAAGTGCTGCACCTGCCACGAAATCTGCACATGGAGGTTCACAAAGTGCTGCACCTGCCACGAAATCTTCACTTCAAGAAACAAGTGAAACCTCTAATCCCAATGGACGGACGATTCCGAGCATGATCCGAGCAGGATCCGAGCATGATCCGAGCATGACCCGAGACCGTCTCGCAACCGTCGTTCCGCAGACCTTGACTTGCCAGCTTCGGAGCCACCGGTTCCATTGAAAAATACCGCATTTCGTGCCTTCGCCACCTCTCCGCAACGCATTTTGTATTGCGCCTGCCACGAAATCTGCACATGGAGGTGCACAAAGTGCTGTGCCTGCCACAAAATCTGCACATGGAGGTTCACAAAGTGCTGCGCCTACCACGACATCTGCACATGGAGGTTCACAAAGTGCTGCACCTGCCACGAAATCTGCACATGGAGGTTCACAAAGTGCTGCACCTGCCACGAAATCTGCACGTGGAGCTGGAGTTGCCTGGAGCTTGAGCTGTTGACACCAGAGCTGGTGTATGAGCGGTGTATGAAGACTGGTGTATGATGAGTGGTGTGTGATCAGTCGTGTATGATGAGTGGTG